CAGGTTGACTTTGTTTCTTCCCCCTTATCTGCTAAAATACCTGACTGACTTGCTTTTGTGTCTTGATGTCTTTCTTTCTCAACTCTCATGAACATTTCAAGACACCAAGAGGCTTTTTTTCCCCCTCCTGTGTCACAGATGTATCGACCGTGCTTTAGAACAACAGCTGTCACGTAATGTACACTCAATTAATACTTGCTGAGAGATAAATGGGTATGTGCATCTCAGCCAAGTCAGCCCAACCGAAAAGCACAGCTTGAAAACGATATAGCAGAGTAAATAGAGGAGATAAATCACAGGAAACGTTCTAGGAAATCCCGCTTCCAGTCCTGCTTCCACCATGTGATTCTGGGCCAGGCTCTAAAGTCTGCTCAGCTTCAGCTTTGTCTTCTCTGAATACGGATCATAACGCTCACCGTGCTGGCTCCTGTGTTTATTTTCAGAACCAAACAAAGTAACATATGCAATATCGCTTAATAAATTCTAAGGAACGATATCGATTCTAGATGAAATGTGGGTGGCTAATATGTATACCGAAATATGCCAGCTCTCCTAGTAAAGGAAAGAATTAAGGGCCAAACATTAATGATATATCATGTATTTCCAATCAATTAAACAAGTTAAGAGTGATGCTTCCCAATATTGGATATACTCTCACATCCTGCTGGGAGGGGTACAAAAATGCTCTAAAGTTAGGAACAGCACTTGGGGAGACCTCAGAAAGTGCCAATGTGTATCTTTTACTCCGGTAATTCTGTTTGCCGGAACCTGTAGAGAAGTGTACAAAATATGAGAATATTCATGAGGGTCTGGTTCGCAATTGTAAAATGGGGCGATTTACCTAAATGCTAAGCACGGAATGATGAATTGTCAAAGTGGTTTCCTCTCTCCCTGCTTCTCTTTCTCTATCAGTCTTTGTCACGTTGCTTAAACCTTTGCCAGTCTCTGAAAACACCATCACTCCCCTGAGGCCAAGATCATCCTAACTTTCCCAACCATCCAACTCCATGACTTTCCTGAGACGGTATCTGAGGATCCATGACCGGGTTGTGCTTGTGACATTTTGGTCCTAATAGAAGTAAAATCCATGGAAACGTAGAGTGGACCCTCTGAGATCATTGATTCTTTTTGTTTTTCCATTCTCTGTTTCTATATTTCGAAAAACACACATTGGATTTATATGCGTGTGTACATTGTAATTCGTTTTGTAATCCTGGAGCTAGACCATATCTTCCCACAAATTCTTTTTAATGTTCTTCTTTTCTTTTTTTCTTTTTTAAAGATTTTATTTATTCATTCATGCAAGACTGAGAGAGAGGGAGGGAGTCAGACACAGAAGGAGCTGAAGGTTCCCTGTGGAGCAGGGAGCCCAATGAGGGGCTCCATCCCAGAACCCTGGGATCAAGACCTGAGTCCAAGGCAAACGCTTAACTGAGTCCCCCAGGCGCCCTAACATCCTTCTAGTTTTCTATTCTTGCTGACTGTCATTTCTGTCCTGACATTTATCACTAAGAATTTCTTTTGAGTGACTGTCAATAAATTGTTTGTAAAATTTTTGAAAGAGCGTTGATATTTCTGTAAGTCTCACAGGTATTACCCGGTATATTTGTTTGTGTGGAACTTGAGCTTACATTTTCCTTCCATTTGGCATTCTCAAAAGCATCTACTTGGTTTCTATTATTGACCTTTCCAAATTACTCTACTAGATATAAAATATGATGCAGGAGTTTATTTATGCTGTGGGAAAATACAAGAAAGGATGTCAAGTCAAGCCTGATAAATTCTAGTCTAAGACCAGCCAAAGTATTTGCGCAGGCCTATCTCCGTCGCAGCTAAATCAGACCATCACTGTTGGGCAAGCTCATTTACCTTGATATCACATAGTGTGTCACTGAGATAAGAGAATGATGTGTCCATAGAGGGAGACTGGCATCGACAGGGACACGTGAACGTAGCTTGGTGCTTCTGACAAGCTCGGCGGGACAAAAGCAACATTTACGTCCTAAATATACACAGTTCTCTAAATACGCATCAACAGCTGACTCTAGCCATATCGATTACTCACTTCTCAGAAAGCGCAACAGTGCTGGCATCTGATAACTGATGGGCTCCTTGATCTTTAACTACGAGGTCAATGAGAACAGGTTAATTCAAATCCTAATGGTTAATTTGAAATAGTAAATAGGAAAATTCTTGGCATTTCATATACCTGCTTTAGGAAATCTTTGCTTTTTATTAGAAACAATATACTTTTAACCTACTATTATACACACACACACATATATACTACTATTATTTCTATATCTATATAATAGATATATAAATTCATTTGTATCCTAAAGATTTTATTAAAATTGAGTCTAACTTTCTTGTTTGTCATCTTTAGTCTCCTAACAGATCTTGTAGGAAATACATTATTTCAATTTGTTAAGATATCAATATTTCTAAATAAGAGTTTAAAAAAACTTTGAAGATTAATTCTTATGTTGGTATGTTGGTATTTAAACTCTTTTCTTTCTTTCTTTTTTTTTTGGCCTTATTTCATTTGGCACTTTGGTTCTTTTAAATATTTATTTCAGAGAATCTGGCTTCTGTTTCCTTTCACATTCTGTTAGCATCTTCTTCTTAGCACCCAAACCCTCTCTTGATTGGACGCCTCTGTCTTACAATGGCAGGTAGTATATCTCAGTAAATATAATGCATAACCTATAGGCCACTCGATTGTGCACATCAAATAAGTCACCAAGTCTACTTTTTCTCCCTACTGCTACTGCCTTAGAAAGGCTCTTAGTGTTTCTTGCTTAGACCATGGTAATATCCCACTTACGCATCCTCTCGTCTTTCACCTTGTTCCATGGCAAGATTTCATGCATACTGATGCCAAATGATTCTTGATAAAATGAAAATCCCATTGTAGCGCTGCATTGTTTAAACTCTTTCCTAATGTGATAGACAGGTTTGATTTGCTTAGACCCTGTAATTCATCAATTCTCATCACTTCCACACATTCAATCTGCTTTAACCATACTTCGCTCTCTACTTGCATTTTTTTTAGAATATGCATGCTCCTATTTCTACATTTACACAAGATTTTCCTAAAATATTTTCTCACCTCTAACATCCAACCCTTCTTCCTCATGCTTTTTTTTATATCTTTGAAGATCCCAATCAGATGTCATTTTTCCCAGATAGCCTTCTTGGGATTTTTTTGGGCTCTCCTTTTCTGTCCTTATGTTGCATGATAAAAATACCTCAATCAATAATTGCTGTTATCTCTTCCTGTGTGTGTTCTCTTTTTATTTCTGCAAAATGCATATATGTATACGCTCACATACATTTACCCAGTGACAGACACACAGACACTGGACTTAATCTTTTCTTTATAATCCCAGCCATTCAACAGAGTGACTGTCACTAGTGCTCAGTAATTGTCAGTTGAGTAAGTCTTGATATGACATCAAAGTTTTAGGAAATAGAGATGACCAAGATTATGAATATCCAAAATTTAGAGCTAAATATTCTTGCCCTACTATACTCTAATTCTAGATCTTTTAAATGATCAATAGTCTATATTATTTTAATAATTATTCTTTATTCCGGAATAACCTTGTATATATATGTATAGATACACACCTTATGTAAGTCCCATCAGTTAAAATATTAGAGATTATTTGAAGCTTAAGCTATGGTCCCAAGTAGATGAAATTAAGTAGGTGTACTTCAGGGTCATCAGGAATCTAACATTATTTCATCAATATGATTAACTTTTTTTGAGGTGAGAAATTTCCTAATTTGGAGGATTTAAATGATTCACATATAAATCAACAAATATTTATTGAGCAGGTATTTTATATACCAGGCATTGTTCTAAGCCCCTGGCATTCATCAGTGTATGTGTAGAAGTCATTCATTAAGACTTTGTTCAGGGATCCCTGGGTGGCTCAGCAGTATAGCGCCTGCCTTCGGCCCAGGGTGTGACCCTGGGGACCCAGGATCGAGTCCCCCATCGGGCTCCCTGAATGGAGCTTGCTTCTCCCTCTGCCTGTGTCTCTGCCTCTCTTTCTCTCTTGTGTCTCTTATGAATAAATAAATAAAATCTTTTAAAAAAGACTTTATTCAGTCACCTCATAAAAAAGTGATTAGTGTATGCTTTATGCTCTTAGAGTCGTACTTAAAGACTGACATATCACAAAGGCGTCACACCATGAGCCTTCATGAGAAAAAAATAGGACTTTAATTGTTTTTAATAAGTATAAACTTTCTCGGTGGAGGACTATAGTGAAAAGATTTGGGGCATGGGACCACTTTGGTGTCTCTTAAATCATGCCACATACATGGATATTTATCTATTCAAGTTGACATCCTCTTTTTCTGGCCAAAACTTATTCAACCCCAAAAATGAGCTCCTTTAATACAGATGAAAAATATGCCAAATATAAAACAAATTTCTAAAGAGCACTATCACTTTTCTTCCCAGATATTGAATTATTTGGGAAATGCGGCTGATATTTGAGGGGAGGGATTGTTCTAAATCACGTTAGTAGAGGTTACTTGCTTTATGGATTAACATAAAACATTTACTCTTCTTAGAAAATATGAAAGGGCCCAGTACCAATCTAATATACAGCACATCAAAAATGATGAAATTTATTATATATAACTGAAATATACAAGCGAATTAAATTTGTTTGAAAACTCTAACACTTCCATGTGAATTAGGCACAGGACCTTGGCAGAAAAGGCAGTAAACAGAGATGAAAGTTGTCAATTCCAATTTATCTAAGGCTTAGGTACATCCTTAATGTAATGTAATAATATGCACTGGCATTTTCACAAGCCAAAGGTACAAAAAATATTTTTTCTAGAAGTGAATTGTCACAAATGTATTTTCCTCACATGAAGTCAAAGATAATGTACTGGAAAATACCAACAATAACAACAGTAACTTTCACATTGCCATAGAGCCAAATGCTATTAATCATTTCCATATTTCTTAATAGAGGCTCAAAGAACTGAAACAAAGGGAATTTGCTCGAAATGTAGCATCTAAATCCAGGAAAGATGAAAGAAAACAGGAAAAGGCACTCCAACGCCTGCACAAGCTGGCCGAGCTAAGAAAGGAAACTGTGTGGTGAGTGTGCAATGAAATCTTGTTTTCTTAAAACATAATGGCCAAAAAGAAAAAAAAAAAACACAAAGAAATAAAGGACACAATTCTATTTATTTCTTTCTGTACCCAGGATAAGAGACTAACATTTTCATGGCTTTCTGTGGGCTGTAGACAGGAATTTGAATTTGAATTTTATGGAAACACCTGCTTAACGTACATTTCAATAAACAGTCAATATTCCTTTAGTTTTACTTTTCAAAGAAAAAGTAATTTCACATTACTCTTCTATTTACACTTAATTAAAAGCCACTCTGTTTCTTAGCAGAAATTCAAAATATTCTGTTGAAGAAGAGAACAAAGCACCCTATCATGACCTTTGTTATAAAAGGGGTTTTAAGAGGAAATATTTTAAAAAATTTAAAATTTGGAGAACTTTTTTTCTGAAAGTATCTTTTATTAAAAAAATAGAGGTCAGGAAGGCCCTATGAATTTCAGAGGCTAGTCAATATTAATTTCACTGTCAATAAACAGTCACAACTGTTAGAAATTCAAAGCTCTTACATTTTGACCTGCTTCTAACAGTAAACAGTTATACTGTTATAATTCAGAATTTACAATTCAGGCCAGGAAGCAGTCATAAAAAGAAGACAACTTTTTAGAGTGCTCTCCCCCCTTTCCCCAAAATAAATAGGGCTCTCTTATTATTGTTTAAAATGAAACTATTTTATAGGAGATCTGTTTTAAACTGAATGTAGTGTTAGGGAATATATTGCCATAATAACATTCTTTGGGATGTCAAGTTTAGAAAAATCAAAATAAAATTTAAATGTATTGTGAATCCTCTAGGGCACTGTTAAAAACAAACATAACTGCTATTCAGTCATACCAACCAGATCTCTTTCCTCTTTGTAGTAAAAATTATACGAGGTACAAGGTAATGTTATAGAGAACATAGGGCCTATGCAATTTAACATCCTATAAGTAGCATTTGCAAATGTACATTTTAATATATTGAGAGAACTAGAGTTAATAGTAAGATAGATACACACAAGAAGAAGCAAAAAGAAGCAAAACTTCTTATCTAAATTACTTTCCTCAGTAACAGTTCATATTTCACAGCACGCACGCGCGCACACACACACACACACACACACACACTTCTCCCATTAATCTGGGGGCCTCTAATGATGTGCAAAATAAGAACCGGCATTGTTTCTTAATGTCAAATATAGCCATGAGACAGCCCATCGTGGTAGAGATTAGATGAAGAAAATAGTCAACTAAAAAAATTAAGGGCCATTTATAACTTCTAAGAAACTAAACTTAATAGACTGGAAAATTCTGCACAGCATGATTCTATGCGGGCAAAGATGCTATGTAGGTGGCTCCTTCTTTATATGCCACCCAGTGTAGCTCTTTTGATTGAGAACCCACTATGTAACTTGTACTGCAATGCCAAATAAATAGAAATTACATCTTAGGTAAATAGCCTTTTGTCCTATACCTACTGTATATTACGATATTATTTAAAATTCTAGGTATCCCTGGGTGGCGCAGCGGTTTGGCGCCTGCCTTTGGCCCAGGGCGCGATCCTGGAGACCCGGGATCGAATCCCACATCGGGCTCCCGGTGCATGGAGCCTGCTTCTCCCTCTGCCTGTGTCTCTGCCTCCATCTCTCTCTCTGTGACTATCCTAAGTAAATAAAAATTTAAAAAAAAAGAACTTTAAAATTCTAAAGTTACTGTTATCTCTTACTTAGTTTTGCACCGTAGCCTTCTACTTGGCCCCGTGTTCAAGTCAACGACTTGAACAGTCAACGACTGTTACCGTGAAAGAAAATCGTAATGAAATTTCCCAAAGAGTTGTCGAGGATCCAGTTAATAACCAGTGTTCACTGGTTGAATGGAAATGTTGACCTGAATTCTCAGCTTTTCTGATTTTTTTTTTTAGCTTTCTTCATAGTCTCCATATGGTCTTAATGATGTTAAGTCTTTGTAAATTTAAATAATTTTATTTTAACTATTCTACAGATCCTCCAAGATACCTGAAGAGGCCCTGAGGCTAAAGAATATTGGTCAGTAAGAACTCAGGAGAGCACAGGAATGTCCTTGACCTGCTGTTAACAGCTACAAAGGTCAACCTCAAAATGAGTGTCCAAGTTATTCCGAACAATAAGCAGTAACTAAATGCTGTCATCGCAGTGCTATGGGAGGGAACTGAACTATATGAAAGTAATTCTCTTATGAAGGTCTTAAAATTTGAAAAAGAAATCTTATAATGACATTTCTCCCATATAAATGTGTGGACGTTTTTCCTCAAAGGTGTTCTAATACACACTTTTCTTTTTGTAGCGCTCCTGGAAGTGGCCCCATGTTCAAGTCAACAACTGTTACTGTGAAAGAAAATTGTAGTGAGATTTCCCAAAGAGTTGTCGTGGATCCGGTTAATAACCAGGAAGATTTCAAATACACTCTGATTCATAGTGAAGAGACTACTAAAGATGTTACCACCGTCACTGCAGATCCAGAAAGCACGAATAATCATACAGCAAAACATAACCAACGTGGGGATCAAGCCCAAGGAATTCACAGACACAAAATTGGCTTTTCTTTCGCATTTCCAAAGAAAGCGTCCGTAAAGCTGGAGTCCTCAGCTGCAGCCTTCTCTGAATACAATGATGATGCCTCTGTGGAAAAAGGATTTAGCAGAAAAAGTAGATTTGTCCCTGGTGCCTGTCATCTTCAACTATCTTCACCAACAGATGTGCTTTTGAGTTCTGAGGAGAAAGCTAACTCTTTTCATCCACCAGAAGGAACGTGTGCGGACAAAGAAAACGCTCAAACTCAAGAGATGAAAGAAGTTTCTAGTGAGAAAGATACATTTTTATTACCTTCACTTTGCCAGTTTCCACGCCCTTTATCTTCTGATGTAGATAATTGCCAAAATTCAGTCCCATTGGCAGATCAAATACCCCTGGAAGATGCTATTATTAATGAAGAGGTGCCTATGAGCGAGAACAGTTCCGGGGTGTCAGGAAGGAAGTCCACAGGCCTTGACTTGGCGAATGATGGTGCATCCTTGCAGGCTACCACAGAGGAAAATGGTAAGGACAGGGAGGCATCTGTAGTTGAAGTTGCGAATAAAGATTATGGTCCTGAGATGATGTCGACCCCTTCAAATTCTGAAGAGGAAAACATAACCTTGCATAAAAAAACAGATTTAGGGAAGAGACCGTGTGAGCCGTTCGTACCCGTACTCAACAAGGACGGGTCCACGGTCCTTCAGTGGCCATCGGAGATGCTGAGTTACACAACCACTCAACCACCAGTGTCCTATAGCTGCAATCCTCTCTGTTTTGACTTCAAGGCCACTAAATTAAACAGCAATCTAGATAAAAACAAGCTGCCCTCAACTGACCCTCCTTTCCAGCAGAAGCCAGAAGACATTTGCAAGAGACCGGTTTCCGAAAGCAAGAGCGTGTCTACGGCAGGACATGCAGGACTCCCTGATGGTGACGTCGGAGGGGCCGGACATGAGTGCTCCCAAGTCGCTCCTCTTTTGGTCGATGACACCCCCTCCAATACCTGCAGATCTGGGAAAAATGAGACTCCGGGTCAGAGGAAGAGAAGTGTTTCCTGTAGGATCAGAGAAACAAAAAAATACAAGCTCGCCAGGAACCAAATGGAACAGGACACTCTGGACGAGAAATACAACAACACAAGGTCGAAGGGTACCCACGAACACTGGTTCCGTAAAAGCAGAAGGAAGAAGAAGAGGAAAAAGTTGTGCCAGCGTCACCGCGGGGAGAAAACCAAAGAACCAGAAATTCACTTCAAGGTGGAATCGGGAAGTAGTTACACTGATCTCACTGGGAAAAATCCGCCGGAAACCAGTTGGGGACAGCGACAGGTGGCTGCAGGGCAGCCCTCGGACTCCCATCAGTTACCTGGGAATAGGCCCAAGCCCCGGTCCCCGAGTTTCAGCGACAAGGAAGGCGTGGGCCAAGCCCCAGGCGCCGGATGCCCCAGCAGGGAGGCCCGCAGCTCCAAGCATCAGTGCGCAAGGGACGCGGTGGCCCTGGACGTGGCATCCAGTCCTGGGGCGTGCGCAGGGAGGCGCAGCCCAGCCACCTGCGGGGCGCCCTGCGGCTGGAGGCCCGGGCGGCCCACCTGTGACCCGATCCCCAGGGGCCAGGCGCCCCCCGGCCCCCACAGCCAGGCGGTGAAGAGGGGCTACCACTCCCTCCTCAGCGAGCCCGAGCGGCCCCACCGAAAGCGCAGGCCACACTCCTCCTCTTACTCTTCGGACGAAAGCTTAAGTCGACGACCCAGTCGCTCGCCAGAGGAGAGGCTGAGAGCGCCCCGCGCCTCGGGCCCCCGGAAACCCAAGAGGAAGCGCCGGAGGAAAAGAGGCAGCAGGTTCCACGTGGGGTCGGAAGCTCCCAACCTGCGGGAGGAAGGGGGGTCTCCCAGCAGAGGCGATTCCCCCTTAGGCCCCCGGGATGAGGCCATAAGCGAAGCCCCAAACGGGGAAACTAAGCCACAGGGCCGTGCGGGAGCTGCGCGGAGGGCAGAGCGCGCGGGTGCAGCGGGTGCAGCAAGTATAGCAGGTGTAGCGGGTGTAGCAGGTGCAGCGGGTACAGCAAGTGCAGCAGGTGCAGTGAGTGCAGCGCGTGCAGCAGGTGCAGCGGGTATAGCAGGTGCAGCGGGTACAGCAAGTGCAGCAGGTGCAGCGCGTGCAGCGGGTGCAGCGGGTATAGCAGGTGCAGTGGGTGTAGCAGGTGCAGCGCGTGCAGCGAGTATAGCGGGTGCAGCGAGTATAGCAGGTGCAGCGGGTGCACCGGGTGCAGCAGATGCAGCAGAGGCCCGGCCCGCTTCGCCCCCTGGCGGCCCGCCGCCTCCCGAGGCCAGGGGGTGCCCCGAGCAGGTGCCGACGGGGGCCGCCCCCGTGGGACCTGCGCTCGCCTCCCCCGAGCTCGCAGCGGTCTACGCCGCCGGCGCCCCCTCGGAAGCCGCGCTGGGCCTCGCGCCGGTGGGACGCCGCGGCAGGGGGGCGGGCCGCGGCCCTGGCGAGCGCAGCCCCCTGAAGGCGCCCGGCGGCGGCGGCGGCGGTGGTGGCGGCGGTGGTGGCGGCGGCTGCAGACAGCATCCCCCGGGCCGGCTCCCCGCGGGCATCCTGGGCGCGCAGGACGGCCCCCCGGTGGCGGCCGCCGAGCCGGTCCTGGCGCCCCTGGCGTGGCCGGAGGCGGCGCTGCTGGTGCCCGTGGAGCCGCTGCGGAAGCTGCGCCGCCTGCCCTGCGAGCTGGGCCCGCACCTGGCGCCCGCGCTGCTGGCGGGCAAGGTGAAGCTGGCGCCGGCCGGGCCGCCCCCGGCGCTGGGGCCCCTGCACGCCGCGCCCTTCAAGGCGCTGCCGCCCCCGCACGGCCCGGGCCTCGCCAGGCCGCCGCTGCCGCTCGTCGCCCTGGGCCTCCCGCCGCTGGCCGCGCCGCCCCTGCCCGTGCTCCCGGCCTCGGCGCTCCCCGCCCCGCTGGCCTTCCCGCCCCTGCCCCGCGCGCTCTTCCCTTCCCTGCTGCCCCCGCACGCGGCGGTCATCCCGCTGCAGCCGCTCTTCTAGCCGCTGCGCACGCGCGCCCAGGGGCAGCCCGGGCCCACCTGGCGCAGGTGCCCTCCTGCACCGCAGCTGCGCCCACGCCAGCCAGCCCCTGGCTGCCCGGCTCGGAACGTTCACCGAGGCCCTGCAGAGCCTGCAGATCGACACGATTCGCGCTGTACATTCAGGTGGTGTCTTCAGAGTATGTATAATGTGCATAAAACATATTTATGGCACTGTGACCTATGGTGTCGGGTATGCTCCTTGGGTTTCTTTTCGGTTCGTTTCTGACCTCTGTGTATTGGCATCTCTTTCATGTTTATTAGACCAAGCTGATGGCGCTACTACGTTTTGTACCATGTTCCTTGAAACTGTACATTCAGTGAAATATATCTCTTGCAATAAATTTTTGTTAAGTATTTCGGTAAATCTAACCTTTGTTTTAGTTCGTGTTCGCTGTCTTGGGAATGCACGGGGACACTGGGTTTTGGAGTTTTGTTGTTTCTTCTGTCCCCTGGCATCTCGGAGCCTCAGAGGCTCAACCTTTGGAGGCCTCTGCATACTGAGACTCCGACACCATCCTTGGGGATGAGTAAGTACAACAGGTCCGCTCCGCTGGTCCCGTGCTGCTTACACCCAGAGCTTGCTCTGGTTCCCAAACCATCGGCCCTCCAGACAGTAAACCATGGAAATTCTGTTAAAGTAATGTTAGTGGGGTGGGGTGGGGTGGGGTGGGGGGGAGAATAACTCAAAAATATGCAAAGTACGTAGCATTCTTTCAGGAACTGTACGACAGCACCGGTAGACCCGAAATAGCAAATAGCCAATACAAATTTGTACATTTTTGTATGTTAAAATTCTCAAATGTGTTATGCTTATTTTTGATGCAGGAAGTATATGTATCTAATAATACGGGCATGGGGGTCCAGGAATGGGTTTAATTAATAATAAATCACTCTCCATATATCACGTCTTGGGCAGAACGGCATACGCACAGTCTGCATCTGGCCATCCTCTTACCTGAGAATCTGGAAGCGGAAAGGAGAGTAAATAAATAGCCCTTCCTTCTGCAAGTCTTTCTAGTAGTCATGTTTGTATCATGTTTCCAAGTCGCTCAGGAACAGTCAGACAATTTCCGCATCACCCTTCCAGATTCTGCTTTCCTGTTAATGACCATCCGCGTGATCGTTCACTCAAGGGCTTTTACATGTACTGGAGAATATAATTATCCCACAGAAAACCGGGAACATCACACTCTTCTGATGTGTATGCCTCCAATCCGGCCCACGCCACTTGGTAAGACCAAGTCTACGTGCCTGACAGAGAGGGTTCACCTGACCATGTGCCAACGATAGAGGACTGCGGCCGCCCAGCTATGAATCCCGGCATCAGAGAGGACAACTGAGTCCCTCCAAAGGGAGGGCGACATTTAAGGGATGCCCTACTGAGAAAATGCTATTTCCTGTGTCTACTGTAGGACTGGGTCACCCTAAATAATATTAAGCAGAAAGTCATGTTCCCGTAACAGAATAATCTATATTAAACTCTATTTTTAAAGAGAGAAATAAGGGGGAAAAATCTAGGCTGTTTACTTTCTTATTTGCCATAATCATTGATTTCAATGCTTTCCTGAAAAATGGTTGTGAGACTGCGTCTGCCCTTTTCATGATTGATAAATAAGAAGATAAAAATAGTAAGGGAAGCAATTCCATTTCAAATGCTCTGAGATAACACGTTCCCAAAATGGGCACTAAAATTGGAACAGATGATTTTTCCCGAAGCAAAATGTTTGAAACTACCTTTGAAAATAAAATAGGTGGGCACACCTACTGGGGAATGCTGACCCAGTTTGTTTTTTAATTTGTCAGATCAGGATCATTGCTCCTGCTGCTTAAAATCAAACCAAGTGCTGGGCTTTAAAATATGCAGATTTTCTCTCTTCTTTTTGTCATCTTCTGACTCTCATCCCACTTGTTCATCTCTTACCTCTTGTTCTTGCTCTTTTTTATTTTTTTAAGATCTTTTATTTATTCATGAGAAACAGAGAGAGAGAGAGGCAGAGACAGAGAGAGGCGGGGGTGTGGGGGTTTGGGCAGAGACACAAGCAGAGGGAGAAGCAGGCTCCATGCAGGGAGCCCGACATGGGACTCGATCCCGGGACCCCAGGATCCTGTCCTGGGCTGAAGGCAGGTGCTAAACCACTGAGCCCCCCAGGGATCCCTTGTTCTTGGTCTTTAGTTCCTTTTACCTTTGATCTTTTCCTTCTCAGTTTCATTATAGACCTCATTTGTGTGTATGCGTATCTCCTGCTTTTGTTTCTTCATGTTACCATTCCTTTTATTTATTTTTTCTTCGATTCTGCGGCTCTCCTAACATTCCTTTTTGTTAAATGATCTAGTCAGGTCAGGCGTACTCAACTCTGTGAGCTCTAACAGAATGTACTTGATTACTTATAATCAAGCTATGGGGCTAGATGATGGAGATTTCTGAAAATTTTGAGGAAGGAAGTTGTCAGTTAAAACTATTGAAACTCAACTTGACAGATGAATTAATTGCTTCCATGGACATCAATGGCCGGAGAAGAGAGAGATGGTAGGTAAGCACGTCAGAGCCATTCTGATTATAAATGACTCATCTAAATAAATAAATAAATAAATAAATACTCATCTAAATAGTTGACGTATCTGATCGGATATTGCCGCTTTGTGATACAGATGCATCTGGTATACACTGAGGACTCCAAATGAATGCTGGACGAGACATTTGATACCTATTCTGATAATGCTAGAATCGAGGGGATCGAGCTGATGGATTAAAGATCGGCAATGAGCAAAGCAATCAGACAGGTTAAGTCAGGGTGGACCCAATAGGCGAGGAGGCTGTCAGAGGACACCGGGCCTGCTCCTACTGATGGCAGCAGGAGTCAGGCCAGTGTAACGGCCACACGTTGGAAGTAGGTTTGAGCACTGGATGATGGCTCGTTCCTAAGTCCTGGAGCTGAAAGTCCAGCCCTGTCCAGGTGTAAATTATCGTACATTCTATACAGTTGGGAAATTTAAACGATCCCACCACTATCTCTTACCACCATCTGGTCTCCAGTCTGCTAGTTACAAGCGTTGCTATAGTATTTGTTATTGTAAAGATGCATGATTTGGAACGTAGAATAAATCTCAACGTGGATAGTAACTGTAGCCAAGGAACAGAAGGATTCACACTGGATGACAGGAAGGGGACTGACTCATTCATAACCTCAACTACCGTCACCCTTTCATATGAACCTAGCGATATATAGATACAGATGTAATCTCCAAATTCTTTTATGAATTGAACAACAATATCCAATGTCCACAGGGCATCTTAACTTGAAAATCTGCCAAGTGTTTTGAACTCAAAACTCAAACTCAAGATCTTTCATTGCAGGTACCCCTGAAGCCCGGTCTTTGTCTTGCGTTTCTAAACTCCATGAATGCCATTCTAAAACACAAAACAAAGCAAAATCCTGTTATTCAAAACAAAACAAAACAAAACAAAACAACAAACAAACAGAATCCTGTTATCCAAATAAGGAACCGGAGTGTCACACCTATATCAAATCAATCAGTGAACCATTCTGGCTCTATTTCTTTATTTTGTTTTTTTCTTTCTCAATTTTTTTCCTGCTTGTACATTTCTATATAGTTCTAACCCTGCTGGGCCATAAGCTGAATTGCTGACTTGCGGTTACAAATTAATATCTCTTTCCTCAATTTCCCATTCCTACTCTCCATCCTCCCCACTGCTGTCAAGGATCCGTTTTTTAAAATGCAATTTTTTTTTTGTTATGACACTCGCCTATTTTAAAACCTATCGTGGAACCTCAAGTATTCTCAAAATAAACATCAAAGTCCCAAGAATACCGTGGAAATCCTGTGGCGAAGTAGGTGCCCGCCTCTCTACCCAGGACCATCCGGTCCAGCACGCCTCTGGACCACTTTTCTATCTAATTTACTTAGTTGCAATCATCTTTGACTTTTTGTGATCATGTTCTGTTATACCGAATGCCTTCCTCCCTGTATTTTCCTTCACTTCGGTAACTAGTACTGTGTCACAGTCACCTGCAGTGTACGTACGTCTCTCTTCGGAATTCTTTCCCAGGTCCTCTCTCTCCCCAGATACCTTAGCCTCCCGTCCTCTAGCCTCTCAGCATGCTACGCACACGTTTTGTTATAAACATTGTGTTGACTGTATTATCTTGTTTCTCAAACTTCCTAGGCTAAGAGCTCCTTGAGTCACTGTGGCAAATGACTCATAATAAACCCTCCGTAAAAGTTTGTTGAATGAGGGGATAAAATTAGTTGGGGAAAAACAAAAACAAACAAAACTAATGAAAACCTATGCAGATTGTACTACTACAGAGTTCCAGAACTGTTATCCATATTTTACTTCAAACTGGTCCTAAATCCAGTTTAAATGAAAATGTATTTTTTCCCCAAAAATCTAGAACTTTGAGATGCCATTCAGCATGAAGAACTTCTTCTTAAAGGAGTCACGAAAAAAAATAATAATAAAGGAGTCACGACTCATTTAAAATAGGACTTCACAATCAATAATCAAAGTACGATGTGAACCGCTTCCCCCACCGCAGGAGGAAGCACAAGCTTCGCTATGTCTGCATCTATCTGTCTGTCTGTCTGGCTAGCATCTTTCATCTTTCTTTTAGCGCTTGCCATCAAACATTAACACAGGATGTACCAGACATTAGATTTGGGGGATGAAGAAATAAAGAGAAGAAACACCCTATTTTTCACATATTGAGTCTAGGGGAAAAAAGAGCAGACCAGCAAAATCGTCTATTTAGCTAACCAGTTTGCTGTGTCATCATTAGTCATTCAAAATGGATTGAATTTCTACTCACCGATGATGCCCTTTTCCCCCCACCGTGTGGCAGTCTCCATTTCTCATTGTTGTCTTTTACTTTTTTTTTTTCTTTCCTCCTCTGCTCATTGGCCTAGCTAAGCCACTGTCCTTGGGAGTGAAAGTTGCCA